GTGTAAGCCGAAGGTAAAAGTTGTAACAGTAGCAATAGGGTTTAAGAGCAAAGACTCTACCACCCAGCTACCTAGATTTGAATCCTGGCTCTATCATTTATTAATCGTATCTTGAATAATTACTTAACCTTTCCGTGCTTTAGTTTCCTGATTTGTAAAATATTGTATTGATAATACCACCTATTTCAAAGGGCTATTACAAAGCTTAAGTAAGCTACAAAATATAACACGCTTACAGGTAGGTAACATAGGTACAAGTACTGCATACCTGGCACATAGCAAGCATAGTTATTATTAAAGTAAATGCTAATTTATTTATTAAAAAATAAATGCATGCACATTATGCCAATAGCACCAACCGAGTGCCTGAGGGAGAGTTTTCTGGAGAGAGAAAGCCTATGCTGGGTCTAAATCTTACTCTACTATTCAATTGCTCTCTGACCTTGACTGAGTTATTTAAACTTTGCATCCTATTTGCTAAAACTGAGATATAATGTCTGTGGTCAATATAATAAGCTAATGTTTGCAAAATTAAATGCACTAACATATGAGGATTAGATGTGCAAATGTACCAGAGCATGACATTAATGACAGTAAATATTTCCTTTTGAATGTGATGGGAAAATAAATGAATTACTCTTGTATTCAACTTTTACTTATGACCATTCTTTCATTTAAACAATTTTAGTTTAGTTGTACATATTCATGCAGATCACAAAAAAACTAACTGAAAGGAATGTTAAGTGACATCACTTAACTGAGCACAATTCTCTTGGTCTTTTTCAATCCCGTGGAAATGCCTTGGTTATATCTGTGTCCATTTTGAGGCACACTGTGTCTGACAGTGTAGGTAAGTAGAACCTCTGTAAGTTGACCACCCAAAGGACTGTTAACAAACTGGTCAACATAAGGAACTAGGCCTACTATACTGATATATACATGTGGTGCATGTCTCTTTTATGAAAATTAGGCCAACTTGAGGAGGTGGTGAGAACTATGGAGGTTCTGCTATATTATACAATATCCTGACTTCCATTAGGCAGAACTGATTATATTTATAACTTTATATAGTCCTCATTTCACCTTATACAGATTCTATCACAGTACATTGTATTTTATTTATAGTACATTTATACCTTGCATTTTTAAAAAAAGACCTTATGGTGGGCGGTGCCTATGGCTCAAAGGAGTAGGGCACCAGCTCCATATACTGGAGATGGTAGGTTCAAACCCGGCCCTGGCCAAAAACTGCAAAAAAAAAAAAAAACTTATGTCAACTTGTTACATACTTAGTATTTCTCTTTCTCGACTGTGAGTTTCTTGAAGAACTGTGTCATAGCCATAGTACACAATACACTGGCACATAATACACTGACTCTCCATGTTTGATGGTGAAATGATGTGAGTAGGATTTAAAGTGTGCCGTTAGGCTCGGCACCTGTGGCTCAAGTGGCTAAGGCGCCAGCCACGTACACCTAAGGTGGAGGGTTCGAATCCCCAGCCCGGGCCCGCCAAACAACAGTGATGGCTGCAACCAAAAAATAGCCGGGCGTTGTGGCGGGCGCCTGTGGTCCCAGCTGCTTGGGAGGCTGAGGCAGGAGCCTCGCTTGAGCCCAGGAGTTGGAGGTTGCTGTGAGCGTGATGCCATGGCACTCTACCCAGGGGGATAGCTTGAGGCTCTATCTCAAAAAAAAAAATAAATAAATAAAGTGTGCCGTTATAAGCAAATGAACCTAATATAAATTTGGGGGATTATATCGGAATTAATGTGAAAGTTATAGACTCAACCTGATCCTCTCCTTTGGCAGAAGAGAAAATCAAAGCCTAGAATAATTGAGTGATTTGTCCAAAGTTACCTACCTAATGTCCAGAACCAAGACTAGAATCTCAGAACCAATCCAGACGCCAATCCACTATATTGATCTGCCTTTCTGACCTGAATGATTTGGCATCTATCTCCATCACTCCATTGAAGCTGCTATTGTTGGTCACCAATTATTTTTATGTTGCTAAATCCAGCCCTTAATATACTCGACCTGTCTGTGGTCTCTGACTCTGCTGACCCTGGTCCATCTTGCATTTCTTTCCTACCTTGGCTTCAGAGATAATATTTTTATCTGGTTCTCCTTTTCTCTCTCTGGCCATTCTTCAGACTTCTTTGTGGGCTTTTGATTGCCACCTCTTTTTGAAGTAGCATTCTTTAGTCCTCCCTATTGTTTCTTCTGTATTTTCTCCCCAATTGATCCCATTCATGCCTAGGGCTTAAATTACCAATTACAGGTTAATATTCTCCAAACCTATTTAAACACAACTTCTCATTCATAAACCTGTGTAATTTGACAGTTTTTTGGAATTTTTTAATTTGCAGTTAATGTAAGGGTGGAAACAACCAAATCATCACAATATTTGAAATTATTAGGTAAAGTCCCTCTTGTAGTTATGCCCTGTTCCCAAAGGTGTGCCATACACCCACATTGTGCCCATTCAGTTGGGAGCACCTCAAACCCTCCTACCTAATTTGACAGCTTATTGGACATTTCCCTCAAGGTTTCCTCCAGCAGATTACAGTCGCGTTGCTATTGTCTTTGAAGGGGGTCTAATAAATTGTATTACTTTTTTTTCCAGATAAAGAAGAGAGTAGCAAGAAACCAAATATTATCTTTATTACTGACAGCATTAATTTCCTCTAGTTGATGTAACAAATTACCACAAACTTAATGGTTTAAAACAATACAAATTTATTGTTTTACAGTTCTGGAGATGAGAAGTCCTAAAATGTGGATGTTTTCAGGGCTATGATTCTTCTAAGGGCATTAGGTAAGAATCCATCTCTTTGCTTTTTCCAGCTTCTACAGGTTGTCTGCATTCCTTGGGTTCATCTTCAAGGTCAAGAATATAACATCTTCAAATCTCTTTCTGACCTCTGCTTCCATGATATTTCCTTCTCTGACTTCAATGCTCCCGCCTCCAGCCCGGCTAGATAATCCAGGATAATCTCCGCAGACCCATAACTTAATCACGCCTGCAGATTGCTAATGTATTGCCAATACAACAAACTTACAGGTTCTGGAGATTAGGATGTAGACATCTTAGGGGGACATTATTCTGTATAACACAACTGACAAAATTAGTACTGGATACTACCTGTGGACAGAGGGCTTCCTAATGCCAAACTCTTAAATTAAATAGGTTTTTTTATACTTTTTTTTGAGACAGAGCCTCAAGCTGTCCCCCTGGGTAGAGTGCCGTGGCATTACAGCTCACAGCAACCTCCAACTCCTGGGCTCAAGCGAGTCTCCTGCCTCCTCCTCCCAAGTAGCTGGGACCACAGGTGCCCGCCACAATGCCCGGCTATTTTTTGGTTGCAGCCATCATTGTTGTTTGGCGGGTCCGGACTGGGGATTTGAACCCGCCACCTTAGGTGTACGTGGCTGGCGCCTTAACCGGTTGAGCTATAGGTGCCGAGCCAAATTAAATGGGTTTACATGCTTTGTAGCCCTAGACGCTCTCTCTTCACCCCAGGTTCTGCTCTGGGAGAAGGAGAGGAAAACACTACAACAGTTCTCTGTTGTCGGAATAGGGGGTCTGGTTTAATCATGGGTGTCTAAGTTAACTATATAGTGGCTCGGAGGGTTAACTATAGGTGTCTAAGTTAACTAGATAGTGGCTCGGAGCCTGTAGTACAGTGGTTACAGCGTCGGCCACATGCACAGAGGCTGGCGGGTTGGAGCATGGCCTGGGCCAGCTAAACAACAATGGCAACCACAACAGAAAAAATAGTCGGGTGTTGTGGCGGGCGCCTGTGGTCTCAGCTGCTTGGGAAGCTGAGGCCGGAGAATCGCTTGAGCTCGGGAGTTTGAGGTTGCTGTGAGCTCTGACGCCACAGCACTTTACCGAAGGTGGCATGGTGAAACTGTCTAAAAAAAAACAAGTTACTACATAGTGGTGGTGACAATTCCTTAGTGTGAAGTATGATGATGAGTTCAAATACATACGGCTTCAAAAGGAGTCTCTCTGCCCAAACCTTGCTCTTCCTGACTATTTTCACTTCCTACTTTACTAATGAAGCATCTTTTGCCTGGAATTAGGTCACCTCCTACCCCCACACCCGGATCTCCCAGCTTGCCCCAAAGCCAAAGGTCACTCACTTGACTTTCCAACATCAGTTGGGGTCAGACCCGCATCCAGATTTCTATGCATTCAAAGTCTACGCTCTCCACAGCTCTCGCTAGACTGCCTTGTCTTATGAGAAGGATTTTTTTTTTTTTTTTTTTTGCAGTTTTCGGCCAGGGCTGGGTTTGAACCTGTCACCTCTGGCATATGGGGCCGGCGCCCTACTCCTTTGAGCCACAGGCGCCACCCGAGAACGCTATTTTAAAGTCGAACGGGCTTTATACTTTACAAAGTGCCTTTCAATACATTATTTCATTAGCCAGGATAGGTTATATTAACTATATCAATTTATACAACAAGGAAACGGAGAATCAAGGGAAGTCAAGGCTCGGTCCACGACATCCTGCTGAAGTTGATATCACTCTGCAGCCTTGACATTAACCGCCCACCGAGTCCCTTCTGGGCGCACTTCTTGGAAAACCTTCCTGCATCTTACACAACTTGCCGATCAGGTCTGCGCCAGCCTGAACGCGACCACTGCTGCCTCCACTATAAGAGTACAGGACCTTTCCCATGCGCTTTGACGCGCACCCGTGACGCCAGACAGTGACGTATGGTGACGGAACTTACCCGGAGCCAGGTGCCCCAGGGCAGCCACACCCTGGCGTCCCCTGCTCCGGAGAGGCAGCCGGTCCGGAGGGTGGGGAAAAGCCGCCGAACCCGCCTAAGGAGACCTCTAGACCCTGAACCCTGGGACCCCGCCGGCAAGCGGTCGTCTGGTTGCTAAGTGACGCCAGCACGCAGACACGCGTGCGCGGCCACGGCGGTGTGCGTGAAAGCGGACGCGCGCCGCGGCGGCGGCGGCGGCGGCGAGGACGGCAGCGACGGCAGCGGCGCAGGGGGCGGTGGCTACGAGGGGGCTGTGGAGCAGGCGGAAGAGGCGTCTGTGCCGGCGGCTAGGTCGCAGAGAAACATCGTTGGGGTGAGTATCCCGGGCCTCGCAGGGGAGGTGGGGCCTGGCCGCATCCGCTGCGCGGGCCCGGGGCGCGGGGACGCGCGCCCCCACCGTACCCGCGCGCGCCGTTCCACGCCTCTCTGCCGCTTTTTCCGGGGGCGGGGAAGGAACGGGGACGGGGGCTGAGCAGGGTCAGTTCCTGGGCCCCGGCGCGCTGGGAAGCTGCAGCGAGGGGCCTGGGAGGAATAGTAGCTCTCGAAGGTGTAGGAAGTAGGTGTCTGGGGCTTCGGGTGTCTCTACCAGCCTCTCAAACAGTGGAGTTCGAATCAGGAGCAGCCTAGGTTCTTCGAGGACCCTCGCATCCTGTCTGAGACAACATTGTCCGAGACGAGAGGAGGCCGAACCCAGGACCCCGGGGTTAGGGTTCAGAACATTTGGGGGTCTTGGGGCCCTCATCTCCGCTGCCCTGGCCAGGCTCTGAGTAGGAGCTGGTTGTTATGGAGAGAGTTGTGAATCAGTGCCTGCGTGGGGCTTCAGACACACCCACGATCTAGGGAAGGCTACCTGTCAGTGTAGAAACCGGGCAGGCAACCTGTTGGCCTAGAGTTTCCAACTTCTTATGTATGTGCATGTGCTTCCTTGACATTTTACCACATTGTTTTGAGACATTTTACCACATTTACCATTTTACCACAGCCGGTTTTGAGACCAAGGGGTGATAACCATCCTCAGTTGTTACTTCCTCATACACTCGTAGACTTAAATAGGTTGTTATGTTTCCCAGAACTGTTGTGTTTGTCATTACTAGGACCAAGAAAGTATGGAAGCACTGTTGCCTTCGGTGGGGTGCCGTGACAGCACAGCTCACAGCAACCTCAAACTCTTGGGCTTAAGCGATTCTCTTGCCTCATCCTCCCAGGTAGCTGGGACTACAGGCACCCGCCACAATACCCGGCTATTCTTTTATTGCAGTTGTCATTGTTTAGCTGGCCCTAGCCAAGTTCAAACCCACCAGCCTCAGTGCATGTGGCCGGCGCCATAACCACTGTGCTATGGGCGCCGAGCCAGTATGTGCTGGTCATACTCATGGGTACATAGATGTGTAGTGGTTGTAGTTACCATCCTTGGAAAGGACGACTATTGGAGATAGGGAGGAAATTAGCCTTTTCTCACTTTCTGCTGTTTGAGTCAATGCATAGAAACTGGTAAAAAGATAGACTGTACTGAGATTTAATCATAATTTGTGCAAGAAAGTTGAGGAAAATAAGTTTTCATTCAGCTTAAAATTTTGTGATTTAGTTTCATAATTGAGGCTCTGTAAAGTATGTTACTTGAGGTTCTTTTATATTGTGGAACCAGTAATAATCTTGCTCTGTAACACTTAGAATACTTAGGATTCAAGATCTCTTTCTCTTTGGATTACAATAGCTTTTGGGACAGGAATCACATCTGTGTTCTCCTCGCCCTATCTCCAGCTGTTGAAAAAGTGCTTGTCACAGAGTAGGCAAGCAATAGATAGTTGTTATAGGGCACACTGTGTCAGTGGTGTATAGAAAGCATTTAATTCAGTCCTTCAAGTACTTAATACATGTGTCCCCCTCAGTATTTGAGAATATGATTGTGGAGTTACACATGACATAGAAAACTTGACTTTTTTCCTTCAAAGCAACAGTCTAGATATGAAAAGACAACATATGTATATAAAATAATTATAAAACAAAATTAGTATGTAAACAAGTGCTATGTGAGGACTGAAAGTGTGGTAGAAATGTAGAAAAGGACATGTAAGCTCAGGGAATTCTTTGGAAGAGGTAAGATTTAAGGTGGTCTTTGAAAGACGTATAAAATTTGAATTAGATAAGAAATCATGTGCTGAGAAAATAATGTGAATTTGGTTGTTGGGAGATATATTGAGGAGACTTCCCTGTCTGGTGACTGGAGCAGAAGGTCTCTGGAGTATTGGAGAGAGAAGGTTTAACAGGTTGGGAAGGCAAAGTGTTAGAGACTAAGGCAGGCTTACCAGCAACCAACCCACTGATAACAAGATGGAGCCTGCTTATAGGGTAAGATGGGGCTTGTGTTATTTAGGCAAGAGTGTTATCCTTAAAATGAGTGACTTATAGTTGAACTAGTATCAGGTTGTTATATATTTTTTATTTCAATTACTATTAATATTTGGAATAAGTGCCTCACTAATGTGCATTCATTTTAGGTAGTTAGCAGTGCATGTCTCTCTTTTTAAAATCTACCTGATGTACTTGGGCCATTCCCTTGGTACTGAAATGATGTACCCAAAGTAGTCATCCATCCACACTCAGTGACACCGTTTTGCTTTTGATTATCTCTGTGGGTTTGTTACTGTTGAAAGGAGCCTTTCTGATGAAGAATACTAAAAAATACTGACAAAAAGATTGGAGAATAAACACACTGTTGTTGAATATTCAACTCTTGGTCTTTTGTTACGTGAAAATTCTTTTGAGTGGCATATAAACTTGAAGTTGGATTGCTAACCGAGATGTGTAAAGTTACAACAGCAAATGTTGCATTATTTAACAACTCAGCAAATATTTATTGGGTACTGGCTATAGCTAGCTGTTCTTTCCATTGGGTGCTGGGGAGACAAAGATGAATAAGACAGAGTATACTCCCTAAGTATTCATCAGAGGACATAACCAGTGATCATTGTATGTTGTGATAAATTAATCACTTTGGGGATGAATAAAGTACTAGAGAATAGATCACTTTGGCTGAGGACTTCTCGCATGGGTTCTGTGGCCTCTCCAGAGCAGAGAGTACCAGGGTGTGGCTGCTCTAGGGCACCTGGCTGCAATTTGGAAAAAATTGATAGGGAAAGCTTTGAAGAGAAGAGATGGAACTTTAAGTTAACCCTGAGTTAACTTAAATTTTAGAATTTTGCCACATGTAAAGGGATAGAGAGGGCCAGCATAAGGAAATTTGCTGAAGAATAACATTGAACGATATTTTTTAAAATATTGTATATTGATTGTTTCTTGTAGGCTTGTTGCATGTCAGAAGTGATGAGACAGGAAAGATATTTTTGCAGCCAAATAATGAGGGGGTCTTCTACTCCATTCTAAAAAGTCTAGATTCTTCCCATCCCCATTGAATTGTCAGTAGAGAGCCACAGAAGCTAGAATAATCAGATCATGCAGATCCCATTAGAGTGGAGAGGCAGGAAGACCACTGACACTGTAGGTAAGAGGTGTTGCTAGCTGAAGGAGGACAGTGGGAATGGATAGATTGTAGAGACATTTTTAGATGTTAAAATCTAAATTTTATGGCCAGCTAGAGGTGAAGGAGAGTGAGAAGTCAAAGGGGACGTGTCTAGCTTGAGCAACTAACTGTGTGATTATGAGGATATTAAATTAGAAAATATAGGAAGAGGAACAGATTTTCAGAGGAAAGAAGAAGTAATGTCATGTTAACTCTAAGGCCCCTGCAAGGAGTTTAAATACATTCATTAGGTAATTGGAAATTCTGCTTCAGAGTTTATGAGATGGTTAGGAACAATTGTAATGTAGCTAAAACTATGGGAATAACAGCCTTCTGGAAGGTGTGTTAGTATAGTAGCTAACTTAAAGGACTTTGGAGTTAGGAATACTCTAGGTCAAATCTCTATTATGCCATTTATTGGTTTGGTGACCTTGGGGAAGTCATTTAACATCTCTAACCCTAGGCCTCTTGTCTGAATTTAAGAATTGTGGAGATTAAGAAATGTAGTATGTGCACAGTCATTAGCATAATGTCTAGCTAGTAAATATTTAGTAAATTGCAGATATTGGTATTAGTAGTAGTAGTAATAATAGATGTAGTGGTTGTACAGGGTCTAACTTCCCAGAAAATGGAGAATGAGAACTGGATAGGAAGGTGAATGGAACTTTTGGAAAGCAACACTTAAATTAGTGTTTAAACTTGGGTTAGTTCTTGTCTGAGTCCCATTGTGCTCCTACAGCAGAGTACCAAACTAGGTAATTTTTTTTTTTTTTTTTGAGACAGAGTCTGTCATCTCAGGATAGAGTGCCATGGCATCAGCAGCCTATCTCACAGCAACCTCAAACTACTGGGCTCAAGTGATTCTCCTGTCTCAGCTTCTTGAGTAGCTGGGCCTGCAGGTGCATACCACCATGCCCAGCTAAGTTTTCTATTTTTAGGAGAGATGAGGTCTGACTTTGTTTAGGCTGATCTCAAACTCCTGAGCTCAAGGGATCCTCCTGCCTCAGCTTCCCAGAGTGCTAGGGTTATAGGTGTGAACCAACATGTTTGGCTGAGACTGGGTATAAAGAACAGAAATGTCTATCCGAGGGCAGTGCCCATAGCTCAACGGGTAGGGTGCTGGCCACATACACCAAGGTTGGCGGGTTCAAACCTAGCCTGGGCCAGCTGCAAAAACAAGGACAACTGCAACAACAACAAGGAAATAGCCAAGTGTTATGGTGGGCATCTGTAGTCCCAGCTCCTTGGGAGGCTGAGGCAAGAGAATTGCTTAAGCCCAAGAGTTTGAGGTTGCTGTGAGCTCTGACACCATGGCACTCTATCCAGGGCAATAGCTTGAGACTCTGTCTCAAAAAAAAAAAAAAAAAAAAAAAGAAAGAAATTTCTTTCCTCACAGTTTTAGAGGCTGGGAAGTCCAAAATCAAGGTCCCAGAATCTGGTGAGGGCCTTCTTGTTATGTCATAACATGGCAGAAGGCATCCCATAGTCGAGAGAGAGAGGGAAGGGGGCTGAACTTATCTTTGGAACTCATTCCTAAGATAACAAACATCATTTCTGCTATGGTCCCACCCCTACAGTTTTTGATTTAGTAGGTCTGAACTGGGGCTTGGAGAAGTTGCATTTGAACAATTTCCCACATATACATATTGCTAGTCCCTGGACCACACTTTGAGAACCATGGACTTACAGGTTAGGTGAAAAAAGAGGAAGCAGCATAGACTAATCAATACATTGTGGTTTATTAAGAACCATGAGAGAATTTAGAGAAAAATAGAAATTTAACATCCTCCAGA